TCCGCGCTCGCCCTCTTCCCCCCGCTCCCTGGGAAGCAAAGGTCACCGCTTGCGCCCGGTCCGGCTCCCGGCCGCTGCCGAGCTGGAAATCAGGAAGCAGCGTGCCCTATTTGTCAAGCGTTTGACAGCTGAGTTCATTAAGGCTTAAATAAGAAGGAATAAAAGTAAAAAATGTTTACGTACCGGGCGTCTCTTTTTCGGCAGCTACCAAAGAGCTAGGTGTGCAGAGAGAGGGACTGCACCCTTTGTATATTATATTCTTGGGATCTCTTCAGTTTTCAAGTCTGATAGAGTCCTTTGCTTGGCAGATTAATGACGACTCCGTGTTTCTTAAGGGACGTGCTGAATTAATTATTTCGCAAATCACGTGGTCAGGACTTGTAGAAATCTATTCTTATCATCTTCCTTGCACTTTGAAATTCTGCCTGTTATGACTGTTCCTAGCAAGATTATTTTGGTCTCTAGGCTTGGAGGGGAAAAAAAAAAAAAAAAAAGGAAAAAAAAATCAGGGGAAAGGGCTAACAAACATGGCCGTTGGAAGCAGTGTGGCTCTGCACTGAGAGGTCCCTATTTACTGTACTGTACAGTGAGTGGGGTTTGCTATTGACTCTGCCTTTCCTCTTCATTCTTACCTTAACGACTAGTGGTGATATAATATACAGAACTGTATTGATGTATCGGGAGTAACAGGAGGAGCCATTAAACGGGAGAGAGAGAAAGTATAATCACAAAATGTGCCTCGATATTTAAACTTAGCTTAGAAACGCGCACACACACCCACACCCCCCCCCTCCGTGCACTCCAGGCAGTAGGGCACATGCCTTGTTCTGCGCACCACGCTCCTTTCCCGGGCTGAGCAAAAGACTGGCTTTTTGGACTCGTGCCTTGACCACGCTCCAGGAGAGGACAAGTCCTCAGTGACAAACACTTATGACAAAAAATAGTGCAATCGACTTCTCCTGGCCAGAGGTATGTGGTGGTGTCTGAGGTGCTTACGCAGGGGAGAAAAAAATGATGTTTGCCTTAGGTGCACGGAAAAGTTTAAACTCTCCAAGTTTGTGTTCTCTTGTGATCTGTCGTTTGTATCGGCTGAAAAAGCGAAGCTTACTGCTCAGAGAAAGCTACTCGCTGCCTTTCAATTTCAAATTTCCATTTCTTTTTTAAATTGATTCCTTCCAGGACTCATCTAAAAGGCACACATCTGTGTGGGGACCGAGGTGACTTCAGGTGTGGCTCCTTGCCTGCTACAACATATGCATAAATCCGGGAGTCATTCTAGGAGGGCTTGTTAAATGCAAAGCAGTGGCAAATGGATGACAGGCACTTTTAACTGCAGCCTAAATGTAAATATAGACTCCGGCTTGGCCTAGAGTCACACCATTATGGCCGGGGTAATCAGCAAACCTGTTCAAAGGGACATTTGGAAGGATGCTATGCAGACTCACTCATCTTTTAACACTGTAATGATGGGAGGGACCAGCATTTTCACAGAAGAGAGACCCACCTTGTAAGGACTGTTTGTTCAAGGTACAAACCAGAATCTATTTCTCTACACCTTTTATTATTTCAACTGTATATGGAGGGCTTACATCAAAACTACAGGCGACAATTAGTATAAATAACGCTTTAATCAATGGCAGCAAAACATCGGTAAAGTCTATAAAAAGCATCACACTTTAACAGAGATGAGAGTATTGCTGGACAATGCGACCGTTTAACAAAGGCTCCAGTGCACAACATTTCATCCATGATAAACAAAAATAGCCAGCTTCCCTTCCTACACAAAACAACTCTGGAGGAGGGTTAAAAACCAATACAAAATAAACCTCAGGTTTGTTTTCCATGGGAGATAATGACCAGTGGGTGCTTCTGGTCGTTATTACAGACATTCCTGACCCTTCAGAGCACTGGCAGCTGGAAGCTATTTCTTTTGGTACTTTCTGCTTCCAGTTCACGTATTCTCCGAGCTTACAGTGCAATTACAACTGTGTAAACTTGCAATGCCCCAGCCTCTCTCAAAGGGGACTTGCAAACAGGGTTGTAAGAGCTGTGCCTGCTGACCCCAACACTCGTCCTGGAGATATTAACATTTCAAAAGACAATGAGACAAATTCTGCTCGCAGCTACATCCCTGTTTGACTTCAGTGGGCGGGGGAAGGAAATCTTGGAGCAGAATTTGGCCCTTTAACTTCAGGATCCATCTCGGTCCATAAGAAGCACAAAGCAAGGATTTGCTTATCCAAGGCCATTATTTTGCAGAACTGTACCACAGATGCCAAAGTTGGTAGCTCGCTCTCGAATAACACGTTTGCCCTGCTCCTAGCCAACTTATCGCAGACTTGAAGTAAACAGCGGGGGTCCGGGAGGGGGATTTTCAAGAAGAGCAGCCAGAGAGGTTGTGGGGAGGGGGTGTGTGTACTTCTTTTTCTTTTCTTTTTTTTTTTTTA